GGAGTGCGCACTGGACCACCCTCCCGTGAAGAGGAGGATGATGCTCGCAGCAGGGTCTTGGCTGTGGAGGCGTGAATGGGGGATCTTCTTGTTCGTGTTCGATCAAGCCTCACATAGCCGACATAGGCACAGAGACAGAACAGCAATCGTGTCGAAGTGCCGTGTTCTCTCTCGTGCCAGACTATCCAAGCATTGCGCTTGCAAAGCAGCTCCGTGTGCTTCTGATCAGTAGCAGAACATAAGACTGTCGGGTAGCAGTCCTAGGCATCAGCCCTCAATGCAACAGGCCGCCCCCGGCATCAGTCAGTGCACCACCGGGGCGGCTCTCCGCATCGCACCAGCCAAAACGGAGAGCAACAACACTGAGCTCTTACAAGCCCAAGGGTGCCTCGTCGCGCTCGCACTTGAGGTTGCGGGTGGAGCCCAGAGGCAATCCAGTCACCCTAATAAATGCAGACGTGGGTTTGACGGTGAGTGTTTCGCGTTCCGGATCACACACACACACACAAGCCGGAGAAAAATTACTTACGACAGCGCACCCCAGCCCGGACCTCCGGAGACTCTGCGATGTGACTGTGGGAGGTTGTGGGCACGTAGGGGTGAGAGACTGATTTGGTAGAACCTGGGAAGCTTCTTGTACAATGTCGCGCTACTCCTCTTCGAGTAGCTCGGTCTGGCCATGTTTGCATATCACCAGGGCCGCAGCTTTTCAAAGGCCTGCTGCTGGCCCTGGCGCAGCTCTTTTGCAGATACCATATCCGCCTGGCTATGTGTTGACATGCAAGAAGCGCACCCCATTTGATCACAACCTAGTATTTCTGCTTTTCATGGCTCATTTGCGTTTGGCCTCGGCATCTGATATGTCCTGGCAGATGTCTGCGCGGTGCTTGGATGCTTGGGTGCTCGCTGCCTTGATGTTCAAGCTATTTGCCTGGCCTTCGTCATCTGCTCAGACTCCGATGTCCAGCGGGCCGTGTCTGCTGTCAGCCTAGGCGACAGCGCAAAAACTTTATTACTGCAGATTCGCACGTCGCACTTTCAATCTTGGCGGCAGTCCTGTTGTTGCTGCTGGTCAGGGCTGCAATTTGGTTTTGGTTGGTCGAGACCTTTCACACATCATCAAACATCACAGTCGTTTCTACCGGCCGGACTTTGCTAAATGCAGAAGGTGCTCTGCAGACTGCTTGGCATAGATGTTCGAGTTGCACCAGCAGGCCTGACATGATTTGCAAGCAGTGCCGTCCCACCGGGGACATTGTTTGGGGACAAGCGATAGGACAAAAAGGGTATGACTGTGGCCATCTAGCTGCGAGATGCACAAGTTTACCACGAAGTGGTATGACTTTCTGTGTGTGTCCAGCTCTGTACTGCCATGCTGGCAGCACTGTGGACAGTGGAACACGGATCCCAAGCGCAGCGCCCCAACCCCAACAAGCCCACGCCTGGCAGAACCCCAACAACAAACTCAAAAGAGGTGGAAAAGATCCCCGGGCCTGCTTCTCA